ACAACCACCCACTTATGACCAGTGACTGATCTAGTCAGTCCAGCACAGTCTTCAGCACAAACAAGATACAGTGGGGCAAAAAAGTATTAAGTCAGCCAACAATTGTGCAAGTTCTCCCACTTAAAAAGATGAGAGAGGCCTGTAATTGGCATCATAGGTAGACCTCAACAATGAGAGACAAAATGAGAAAAAAAATCCAGACAATCACATTGGCTGATTTGAAAAGAATTAATTTGCAAATTATGGTGGAAAAGAGGAATTTGGTCAATATCAAAAGTTCATCTCAACACTTTGTTATATATCCTTTGTTGGCAATGACAGAGGTCAAACGTTTCCTGTAAGTCTTCACAAGGTTGGCACACACTGTTGCTGGTATGTTGGCCCATTCCTCCATGCAGATCTCCTCTAGAGCAGTAATGTTTTGGCGCTGTCGCTGGGCAACACGGACTTTCAACTCCCTCCAAAGGTTTTCTATGGGGTTGAGATCTGGAGACTGGCTAGGCCACTCCAGGACCTTGAAATGCTTCTTACGAAGGCACTCCTTTTTTGCCCGGGCGGTATGTTTGGGATCATTGTCATGTTGGAAGACCCAGCCACGTTTCATCTTCAATGCCCTTGCTGATGGAAGGAGGTTTGCACTCAAAATCTCACGATACATGGCCCCATTCATTCTGTCCTGTACATGGATCAGTCGTCCTGGTCCCTTTGCGGAGAAACAGCCCCAAAGCATGATGTTGCCACCCCCATGCTTCACAGTAAGTATGGTGTTCCTTGGATGCAACTCAGCATTCTCTCTCCTCCAAACAAGAAGAGTTGTGTTTTTACCAAACAGTTCTATTTTGGTTTCGTCTGACCATATGACATTCTCCCATACCCTCTTCTGGATCATCCAAATGCTCTCTAGCAAACTTCAGACGGGCCTGGACATGTACTGGCTTAAGCAGGGGGACACGTCTGGCACTGCAGGATCTGAGTCACTGGTGGCGTAGTGTGTTACTGATGGTAGCCTTTGTTACGTTGGTCCCAACTCTCTGCAGGTCATTCACTAGGTCCCCCCGTGTGGTCCTGGGATTTTTGCTCACCGTTCTTGTGATCATTTTGACCCCATGGGGTGAGATCTTGCGTGGAGCCCCAGATCGAGGGAGATTATCAGTGGTCTTGTATGTCTTCCATTTTCTAATTATTGCTCCCACAGTTGATTTGTTCACACCAAGCTGCTTAACTATTGCAGATTCAGTCTTTCCAGCCTGGTGCAGGTCTACAATTTTGTTTCTGGTTTCCTTCGACAGCTCTTTGGTCTTCACCATAGTGGAGTTTGGAGTGTGACTGAGGTTGTGGACAGGTGTCTTTTATACTGATAACAGGTTCAAACAGGTGCCATTGATACAGGTAATGAGTGCAGGACAGAGGAGTCTCTTAAAGAAGAAGGTACAGGTCTGTGAGAGCCAGAAATCTTGCTTGTTTGTAGGTGACCAAATACTTATTTTCCACCATAATTTGCAAATAAATTCTTTCCAAATCAGCCAATGTGATTGTCTGGATTTTTTTTTCTCATTTTGTCTCTCACAGTTGAGGTCTACCTATTATGCCAATTACAGGCCTCTCTCATCTTTTTAAGCGGGAGAATTTGCACAATTGGTGGCTGACTAAATACTTTTGTGCCCACTGTATATGATGGAGATGGCGGACCTTTCAGCTGTAGTATGTCTTCTATGAATAGAGGAGCTGAGCAGAAAGGGTGCTGAGCAGAAAGGGTGGGCACAGAAAGCCTGTCACAGCTACCTCCGTTCAATCAACACCCACAGTATCAGAAGATTGGGGTGGGTTGGATGATGAAGAATTCCAAGAATCCAGGAGTCAGCAGCACAGTGGACACATCAGATTAATAGTAAAGCTGGCCATACATGGTTTTTGAAAAATACACGGTTTTAGAAAATTCAACTGGTTTAGCAAGAAGCCCCTTTCCTCACATTTATGAGATTTCTGTTTTTCTTTCCTTTTATATCATAGATAACCTTGCCTGTAAATATCCCTTTTATTGAATTTGCTAGCACGATATGAAACACATTTAATTAACTTACCTGTGTTGAGCTTTCTGACATGCAGTATCCGGGGTGTGACTCCATCACTCAGTATCTGACCCCTTGCTTGGGCCTCTGGCAGTTCTCCATTTTTTTTTACTTTAGGCCTAACCAGGTAAATTGTGAGCACCATGTGTTATATATATGTGTTTGGATGATATGTAATTTTAAGTACATGTATTAATGGTATATGTTTTCATATGTAGAAAGATTCATCCTATAGCTCCTGATGAAGTAGATTTTTTCCAAGAAATGAGTCGAGATTTTGGAGAACAATATCTGAATATGCTCATGTATACATATGTGCTATTTTGAGTCTAATGTAAACCTGGGGTAATGTGATCCAAATATGGTTTTATATAACATTTGTTTGAGATATTGATTTTAAAGGAATTGTTTGTACAGATAAACTTCATAGGTTTTAAATATACATTTTTGTTGTGCTTCAAAAGTCCCACCATGTAAAAACTGTTATAATAACTTAACTTAAGCAGGGATGTGGCACATTTAGGCCATATACTGTACATCTATTTTCATTCAACCCATTGCTTGAACGAAAAAAAATTGACCCATCTATGACCTGGTTAAGTCATTTCCTTTGTGCTAATTTTTTTTTTTCTTTGAAGCTGTGCTTTCAACTCATATGAGCAGTTATAATTAAGCACAAATATTTTTTCAACCAGAGTGCACAGTTCTACTTTAAAGTATTGCATCTAGGTTTTCACCTGTACTTATGCCAGCTTTGTCCATATTGACAAATCTTTCGAACAAAAATATTTGTGCGCAGCTAAGGTTACATTGATTTTTTGGCCATTGATGTTGACCATGTACAAACTGTGTACAAAAGAAAAAGCACATTTGACTAAAAAGCTTTTTCCTAAGTTGTCATTCTACCTTATAGATAGTTTAGTCAGTTAAACCTCCTGAATTGTCTAAACATGTTTGTTAAGAAAAATATCAGGCGACAGAGAATACAAGCCTGGCAGATTCAGAAAATCTCTTATCTGCCCTTGGTATTTTGTCAAAGATGAGGTCTTTTAATGTCATGTATTTTAGACAGCTTATCAGAGAAGATCTGACATAGAGCTGATGCAGGAAATCACTCTCAGTGCAAGATGTTCAAAAAGCAAATTGCAGAAGATGGCTATCTGCAAGTCATAAAGTGAGGTCTCGATATGGAAGGCAATGGCTCTTAATGAAAACTGTGGTTCTGTATTCAGTGTTACCTTATCCCATATTTTATATTTTGTATGCATAGACATATGCATAGTACAGCCTCCCCTCTGATGATGTGCCTGTAGCACGAAAGGCCTAAGGAGGAGCTGTGCAGAGCGTGACGTCATTTCCTACCGCCGGAGCCACGAGGAGGCCCGGCGGCCATCTTTACTAGGGTCAGTAATGCTGTCTTCTACCTATACACATTTGCTGTGATGTGCATACTGCCCTATTGCTATGTCTGACTAATAAAATCACCGTAAGAACATACTACACTATCTCTGGCACCTGTTTTTTGGGGCTCCTTCTTGGAGCTGTTACTCCAACAGAAAGGGTGCCCTCACCAGCCAGAAGAGGGATCAACACTACCAGTGTGAATAGCCTTAAGGGGACCTCTGGACCTGTCGTGTTGTTTCTGATGACCCACAGTGAACAGGACGCCCACCACTCGGTCTTCGTTGGATCGGATACCTGGGATGATTATTCCTATATGCGCATAATCCATGCGTTTCTGGTGAGTGCGCATTGCTGTTATTTCAAGGCAGTACATACCTCGGAAGTATATTCATCTTATCAGACAATACTGCAGATATTGCATAGACTTTATATGTGTACATTTATATATACTTGTTTGTCTTCATCCAGTTAATAATTCTTGAGCGCTGCACTGTTCTTTGTTGTATTGATATGCGTATATTTTAAAGGTATTGTGGTTACCTGAAGTGTTCTAGCTGCTGTATACATTTGAGAGCGCTCACTATATATTGCTTTTATACTAATAACACTGATTGAGAAAAACAATGATGTGCCACCATGATTGTAATTATGACAGTGTGCTCTTCAGGTCCATTATATTACAGATTGAATGCACAGATTTTTGGGTAAGGATGTGGGGGACAAAGCTATAATGGTGCACATTGGCAAATGCTAATGGAAAAATGGAAGGCCCTCATAATGATTAGGTAGTAACGCTAAAGTAATATTTTCCAAAAAACTACCAGCATGACATGTTCTACCAGAAAGAAAGGAGGATGATAGGGAGAGAAAGATTGGTGTAAGATTTAATAATAGGAATTTTTGAAGATCTTATAAATATGGCTCTGTGGGAAAATTCTACCAGATTTGGGATATAAGGATCTCACTCACTTTCCACATCACCCGGTGATGTGCTAAACACAAATCTTTGCTTTGCCCTTTTAGGGCAAAACAATGGGTTTATTTAAATCTTCTACATGCCCCCAGCATGTACATACCTTTCTGTTGCTCCCTCACCACTCTGTTCAGCACTGGAAGCCAAAGAATATACTCTATGTGACAGTGCGGAGCCAGTTAGTGCTGTCATGTTTGCACTCCACACATTGGTGTAAGCTACTAGCAGCTTAATGAATGAAAGCAGAGGAGTGGGAAAGTAAGGTAAGTAAAAGATTTTTAAAACTGAAAGGCTTTGATGCTGTTTGAGTACTTTCCAAGAAAATATACTGTATATATTTTATCCATATGATTAGATACACTATATTGCCAGAAGTATTGGGACACCCCTCCAAATCATTGGATTCAGGTGTTCCAATAACTTCCATGGCCACAGGTGTATAAAATCAAGCACCTAGGCATGCAGACTGCTTCTACAAACATTTGTGAAAGAATGGGTCGCTCTCAGGAGCTCAGTAATTCAAGCGTGGTACCGTGATAGGTTGCCATCTGTGCAATAAGTCCATTCGTGAAATTTCCTTGCTACTAAATATTCCACGGTCAACTGTTAGTAGTATTATAACAAAGTGGAAGCAACTGGGAACAACAGCAACTCAGCCACGAAGTGGTAGGCCACGTAAAATAACAGAGCAGGGTCAGCGAATGCTAAAGCGCACAGTGCTCAGAAGCCGCCAATTGTCTGCAGAGTCAATAGCTAAAGACTTCCAAACCTTGTGTGGCCTTCAGATTAGCACAACAGTGCATACAGAGCTTCATGGAATGGGTTTCCATGGTCAAGCAACTGCAGTGATGCCTTACATCACCAAGTGCAATGCAAAGCATCGGATGTAGTGGTGTAAAGCATGCCACCACTGAACTCTAGAGCAGTAGAGACGTGTTCTCTGAAGTGACCAATCACATTTCTCTGTCTGGCAATCTGATGGACATGTCTGGATTTGGCAGTTGCTAGGAGAATGATACATGCCTGACTGCATTGTGTCAAGTGTAAAGTTTGGTGGAGGGGGGACAATGGTGTGGGGTTGTTTTTTCAGGGGATGGGCTTGGCCCCTTAGTTACAGTGAAGGGAACTCTTAAGACGTCAGCATACCAAGAGATTTTGGACAATTTCATGCTCCAAATTTGTGGGAACAGTTTGGGGATGGCCCCTTCCTGTTCCAATATGACTGCACACCAGTGCACAAAGCAAGGCACATGAAGACATGGATGAGTGAGTTTGGGTGGAGGAACTTGACTGGCCTGTACAGAGTCCTGACCTTAACCTGATAGAACACCTTTGGGATGAATTAGAGCAGAGACTGCGAGCCCCTTCTCAGTCTCTGACCTCAAAAATGTGCTCCTGGAAGAATGGTCAAACATTCCCATAGACACACTCCTAAACCTTGTGGACAGCCTTCCCAGAAGAGTTGAAGCTGTAATAGCTGCAAAGGGTGGGCCAACTCAATATTGAACCCTACAGACTAAGAATGGAATGCCATTAAAGTTCATGTGTGTGTAAAGGCAGGCACCCCAATACTTTTGGCAATATAGTGTATATATAATATATATATTTTGCTGTGTTTCTAATGTAAACCCTAGTTGCATAACAATTTATGATGTACTGTATACGTAAAAAACCCCCACTAAATTACTTTTGGACAATATTTATTGTATAATTACCAATTTACTACTATTCAAAATTGTCTTATTGTGTCTTGCATGCATTTTACCTTTTCTAAATAAAAAGTTTTGAAGTGGATTGAAAAACTGAGGGTATTTATTACCATTCTTTCCATTCATTGTATAAAAAACAGGCATTAACAAGATTAGTAACGTAGTGAGAAGTATTATGTGTCTAATTTTTCAAAACTCGATTAGGAATAAAATATTTGGATTTACCTTTTCCACTAAATACATGTGCAATACAGGTTTCAGATTTATTAAATCCCCTTTTAGGACAGACTTAAAGTGGTTGTAAATGCATGGATTCTGTGCATGAAGATAAAATACCTTCTGCAGGCAGGTCCCCCCCTCAGCACTCCCTTATTCTTCTACCTGAACTCGATTTTGATTCAGCAAAATGTCCTCTCTCTTACTCTTCATTGGCTTAGATACAGCAGAGGGGGCCACTGGCTCCTGCTGCTGTCAATCACAGCCAGTGAGAAGGGAGCAGGGCTGAGCCATGCTCTCTGTGTCTTATGGACACATAAGGCCAATTCAGGAGAGAGCATGCATGAGTGCCCCCAGAGCAAGCAGCTTGCTATAGGGACACTTGGCAGGGGATGCTGGATTGGGGCTGCTGTGTGCAAAACCATTACACAGAGAAGGTAAGTATAACATGTTTGTTATTTAAAAAACAAAATAGAAACAAAATGAACTTTTAGTATCACTTTAAACCTTTATTTTTGGGATCAGAGGGCTCTGCTGTTTTCTTCCATCTTGCTTCTTTCTTTAACCCTTCTCTGAATTCTTGTTAATTATGCAAGAAACTGACCTGCATCTTTGATCACTTTGATTTTAACACAAGCTCAGGAAGCTTTCATCAATCTAACCTCATCTCTTTCTATTAAATACTTTTACCTCCCATACCTTTACCTCATTTTTTGCCTCCTCCTCCTCCTGCTACCACCTGCTTATTATTAGACTTTGCACTACTGTATATTTGTTTAAAAACATACAGTACACACAATATAGAGTAATAGTTTTAAGGTACAGACACCTTTCATCAGGATGCAATTTCAGAAGATGCTAGTTACTTAAAGGACCTAACGTTTTAGGACTTTGGACTCATAAGACAATCTTTTGGCTCATCTATACCAAGATGGTAGTTACCTGGCTGTTATGCTAACCACAGCCTCATTGCAAGGGAGGACTTTTATGGATGTTCAGCTTTAGGTAAAGTACATTTGAGTAACACAGAGCTTTAAACAAACTTGGGAATATTAAAGCTAGCCATAAACTAGTATATTTTCGAAGAAACATTTGTACAAAAATTCTCATCAGTACATACGATGACATCACAAATGCTATTCAAATATATTTTACAAAAACATTTGCTTTTTACATTCAATTTTGTAATGAATAGACTTTCCTGAACAAAAACCACACTCACTGTTAGAAATACTTTCAAGCAAGAGAAAAATTCCATGATGCTTATCTGAATTTTCTCCTCACTGTGGTAGAAAATAATTGTCGATTTGACCCCATTAACGATTAGAAAATTGAAAGAATATTCCTAAAACAAGCATTTTTGATTGAAAGTCTACTACTGTATGGCCTTCTTAAGTAAAGCTCAAAACACCACAAAAAGCCTAGTAGCAGCTGCAAAAGGAAACAAACAGTGAGTCAAGTATAGCATTACCTCTGCATAAATCATGCATAAGGTCCCATCTTCAATACAGAGAGATTTAAGTGAGCGAGTAGAGAAAACTGAGAAAAACTGGAATTTTTTAAGCCTGAAGAATTGTTTACCCTGAAATATTAGAAGTGAACTTATGGATACACTGAGTGTAAATACAGTATACCATCAATTGCTTATGGAGGAAAGGATGTTACTATTAGTATAGATGGGAGTTTTTATGATAAAAGTAGTTAGGCTTGGGAACGTCCTACCTCATGGGGTAGTAATGGTAATGTCAATAATAAAACTTATGACACAATTGATTTTCCTTCAGCTATTGAGGACCATGTAGTTATTATAACATAATAATCAATCAAATATAAATTAGCTGTTTTTAAATGATCTTTGACTCAAAATGATTGATTGACACAACAGAATATAGATAATACAATTGATTATGTGTATGGCATCATTAGGTATGAACATTTATAATATTAGTAAGACCAAATTTGGATTCAAGACATTGATCTGATTGCTTTTTGTGGATAAGAAGGAATTGATTTTTTTTCTTAATTGACCTGGCATAATTGACCTGAGGCAAGTTAACAATGAAAATATGATTGTTTCATAATCAATAAATTATGATGAAACTGAAGTGCTGTGTAGTGTAAAAATATTTTGGAGATTCAGTTGAGAATGTAATATTTAAAAACTCTTAACTTTCAATCCCTTTTAAATGTAATGTACATGTCATCCAACCCCAGTGATGTTTCTAATTGTAATTGGCTGTGCAACATAAAAGAGTGTTATCCAGCAGAGTTATCCTCTGATCTCTATTCTCTAACCATCTTGGGGTGATTGAACACCAGAGTCAATCATTCACATGTGATTGCTGCATGAGCGAAAACATGCAAGGGGAACAAATAGCTGCGAGAGCCAGCAGCCTCCCATTGCTTTCAATGGGGCTGCTTCTCGCAGCTAATCACAGGCAGTGCATTCACAAGTGTGAAGTGTGCATTCACACGTGTGAATACACCTTGAAAAAAAAGCATTGCATCTGCTCTATTCCCTTCTGGTGTTTTTGTGTTTCAGCACCAGACTCTTACAGATCCACTTGCAAGTGCTACCCGCATTCACACAGCTTGTAAAAGCATGTGAAACACACAAAAACATGTAAGTTGCGCTTGTGGTGCCATTCATTGTTAACCTCCTTAGCGGTTATCCCGAGTGTATCTCGGGGTAAAATTTCAATACCAAGAGCGGTAACCCCGAGCTACACTTGGGCTTACCATGCTCAGGGGGTCCCTGCAGCACTTACCTTGTCCTTCGCTTCCGCGATGTGTCCCCTGCAGCGTCCCCGGCCATCTCCTCCGGCCGATGCCGGCATCCAGCTTTCGTGTTCTGGTCCCTGTGACGTCGGGATGTACGGGCGCCGGAACCGGTGGGAAATTTGAAATTTTTTTAAAAATTTCATTTTTGCTGTCATTGCTGTTTTAATGCATTTCACATACATTTTGTCCCTACTGCTTTGTCCTGTGCCCTGCCTGCATTTTGAATGTTCTTTCTGCCTGGAAACTTAGAAAAGTCCATGGCGACCAAAAAGCGTCCCTTTTATGTCAAAAGCGGTTTTAGAACAGTGATAGTAAATCAGAACCACTTGCAGAATTGATTGATAATGATTCGTGGGGAAATTCGTCATCAGACACTGAAAACGATTTTGCAACTTTGCTCAGCGATGTGCGAATTTGCCTCTGTATTTCAAATTTCAGTGTTTTTGGTTTGATTATATTATTGAATTAAATGTATTATTATTATATTAATTTTTTTTATGATTATTAAATTATAATTTATGATTTCGTGTTTCAAGTTTTATCACATCCAGAATGTTTACTAGACTCTTGTTCATACAGATTTCAGTGAGTTATTCCTAAAAATTACAGCCTACAATAAAAAACTACATATTTCCATGCAAAAAAATGGTACCGCTTTCAGCACAAAAAATCGGAAAGAATCATACCGCCGAGGAGGTTAAAGACATCCCAAATGCAATGTAGCATGTTTTTGAGAATGAGAACATACAAAAAATGCTGAAAAATTTGCTGTTAAAAGCCATGCAAAGCTAAAAAGGTGCATGAGCCATAGGGAAATTGGAGAACGTACAGTGAAGTACTCAGTATATGTGGATGACCTGCAGTGTTAGGACATTATATTTTACTGTTCCCCAAGATTTGGACATGAGAGCTCTCCAACACCATATGAACCTTTCTTCTAATTATTCTTTGAGATTGAAGAACTTTATTCTGGAGGGTGTGTTATTCTTTGTAGCCACAACTACTTGCTATTCGATGGCAAGTGGAACCTACAGATAGAGGAGCCTCAATGGGGATAAAGTTTGCATGTGCAACAGTGTGCATGCGCCAGTGACATCGCCGGTGCTTCTACAGTAAATATCTCCTAAATGGTGCACGTTTAGGAGATGTTTGCAGTACCTACAGGTAAGCCTTATTAAAGGCTTACCTGTCAGTAAAAGATACAAAACTGGGTTT